TTCCCCGCCTCCTCCACCTTGTCCTTCTCTCTCTCTCCACACATACACAAACATCCATAGAATTGTGTTCCATATATGTACTATTCATTCTGTATACAGGAGTTAACAGAATCATCTAAATATTTTGATTATAAATCTTGCTAAAAACTCATGCTTTTAAGAATTAATGTGGCATTTTCAGATGAACTTGAAAATAATATCCTCATTTTTATGTAGACTACATACTATTACTTTTTTTGTGTTCTTCTGTGGATTCTCTTCTCCAAATTATTTATTTTTAAATTTCCAGACTGAAATAATTTTTACTAATTGAACAAATATTTTATTTGTAGATATTACAGATAGAAATAGAAATTATCAATACTATGAGAATTTTAGCTTCATTGAGATATACTTTGCCTTATTGATGTTTTCTTTGGCTTTATTTACCTTGATTTATTTCTAGTGTGTTCAAAAGAGATGGGGTTTTTCATAACATTTATTTCCTTTTCTGCCCCTGGATTCAGACTGTAGACTGTACTCCACTTCCAGTTCACACACCAACTTTAAAGAAAAAGGCATGCCCCGGTTCAACTGGCCTTCCACCTAAGGTACTCGTCTAGTTATGAGCATAGTGTGTTCTGAAAATAAAAAAGAGAGAGACTGGATTTCTTCTGCTGCTTGTATTTCCTTTGGTTTTTACTATTGGTTTCCTTAAGATTACAAACATGAAAGCTTGGAAAGAAAATAAATTCTGTATGAATGGAAATAATCATCACTGAGAAAGGCAGGAAGAGTGTAAAAAGTTCATTTTGTTTCCATCTTCTTCAATTCAGTGTTTTGAAGTCTGTTCCAGTGAGGAGTAGTACTTGAGGGTGTGTTATAAGGCAGGCATTAAGTTGAGGCCACTTGTGGAAGAATCTAAGGTTGAGGTTAAAAAAACCACTGAAAAAGAGAAATGTTTAGTGTAAAATTTAGGTGAATTTTCTTTTTTTCATTCTATTCAACATGACTGTGACTGAAGTATTATATATGGAAGAACATGAAGATTTAGTTGCTAGATTATCTTAAGCGCCGACAAAGAAATTCTAGAAATTGGAAAGCTGAAATAATCTCCCTTTCCAGAACATAAACCTTAGATAAACCACAGAGAGAGAGAGAGAGAGAGAGATTTATGTATCTAAAAAACTATTATAATAAAGTATACAGAAGTATAACTGATACAAAAGAAAGCAACAAACTGAATACCATATTTTGCCATGTATAATGCGCACCCACATTTTGGCCCAAACTTTCAGGGGGTAAAAAAACCTTTCATTTTAATTTATTAATTTAAAAAATTAATTAAAAATTAATTTTTTAATTCAAATTTTTTTGTTTACATTTAGGTACTTGTTTTTTTGTATTATAAAGGAATTTTAGCATTTATTTTTTAATTTATTATGGCACAAGAAATTTTATGTAACAAATAATTACGAAACATAAGAACAGATACAAGGTACTACAAGAAATTTTATGTACCGGTAATAAATTTACGATATTTATACATCATAGAAGGCCAAGAACTCTTCATTGTTGCAAGTTTGACCTAAGTTCAATGAAACCAATTATCGTATTCCAGGGTATTATTTTACATACGGACATCGTTATTGATTTCTAGAGTTACACTTTTAACTCATAAATATAAATAAAAATTAAAGACATTTATATAGATATGGAATTAGAACTACCCATGTATAATGCACATCCTTATTTTTCCCTCACAAATTTGGGCAAAAAAGTACACATTATATATGGCAAAATATGGCAACCTATGCCAGATAAAGCAAAATTTTGAGGTTAGAACATGAATTAAAAGTAAACATAATAAATGTCTTCAAAGAGATATGACAGGAAGTATGTTGGTTACATGGGGCAGGATAAGGCACTTATGAAGAAAAATAATTTGTAAGTTCTTGACAAAAATATAACAGCTGAAATAAAGAACTCAGATGGCTTTACTAGCAGAATGTGCAAACTGGATATAGCCGAAAAACAAGTTTATGAGATAGAAAATATGAGAGTTAAACTACACGACAGAAATAGTATCAATATCTACATATAGGACTTTCAAAAGGGAGAAAAATACTTAAAGAATACTTAGAATTAAAATGAAAAATCTCATATATAAACACATCATTATGTGCAAAAAATAGTAGATAAGAAAAAACTCACACCTACATCCATTATAGTAAATTTTAAGGATCAAGAGAAAAATTCTAAAAACTGTCAAAGAGAAAGAGCAGATGTCTGTAAACAGAAATCAAATTGATGTCAGGCTTCTCAACAACACTAGATGCAAGAAGACAACAAAGAAATATGTTCAAAATGTTCAAGAAAAAGAGCTTTGAGCCCTAAAATTTTAACCCAGCTGTACCATCACTTAAATCTGAGAGCAAATTAAAAGTATTCTCAGGTATACAGGAATGTAGTATGTTTATTATTTAAAAACAAAAACAAAAAAAAACCTTTGGAAATACTCTTGAATACACTCACAGGAAACTATCAGAAATAGAAATTGAGGAAATAATCCCATTTACAATTGCATCAAAAAGAATAAAATACCCAGGAATAAATTTAACAAAGGAGGTAAAAGATCTGTTCACTAAGAACTATGAGATATTAATGAAAGAATGAAAGAAAGAAAAAGACACAAATAAGTGGAAAGGTATTCTGTGCTCATGGATCGGAAGAAATAATATTGCTAAAATACTAGTATAGACTCTGGGTCTGTACTGCCCAAAGCAATCTGCAGATGCATTGCAATCCCTGGCCCCACCCCCTTCCTCATAAAAGTACAGGAAAAGTTATTTCACTTAAAAATTTGATTGCAGTCAGTCTCACACACAAAAAAGTAAGGAGCAATGTATCTTTAACAAAAGGTGAAAGTATGCCAGAAAGACATGTCTATAAAACCAACGAAAACTACAATCAGTATTTCAAAAGAAATGAAGAAAAATGATAGAAGCAATAAAGTAACATTTCTTTATTTCTATAGGTATAAATAAGAAAAAATTCCACTTAACTCTTTGCTAAAGACTAATAGGAAGAATTGATAAAACTCCTGAAGTCAAAATTTTTGAGCCACAAGAAAGCTCCAGTTTATTTTTAACTTCAAGTGGCCTTCAAAAGCAATTGATTATCACTTCTTATAGTATTTTAGCATTATCTATCTCAATATTGCCTAATAAAAATATTTAAAGAGTGTAGATTCTAGAAAGATGTGAGCAATGAAAATGTTCTTATTTAGAAACATTCTGGTAGCTAGTGTGGGGCACAGAGATTCACTTTATGAAAAGCCTTTAAATAATCAATGTGTATGTTTCTATCAACTTGTTTTGTAGCGCAAGACTCACCAGTTTTTTGTCAAATCTTTTACTACTCCTACCAAGTGTCATCAGTGTACCTCTTTGATGGTGGGTTTGATAAGACAGGGCTGTGCCTGTGAAGGTAAGAACAAAATGGTAAGAAAATGTGGCTTTAGAGTCCTAACATTTACTACCTAAATTGTAATCAAATAACTTGATTCTCTTTAGAAGGTATATAAATGTTTGTTTTGCTTAATTATTAGCTTTTCTTTGGATAACAGGAATAGAGACAGTAAAGTGAGCACTTTGCTCAGTCTGTTGAAGATTAAAGAAACTAGACAGGCAGTCCCTAGAAACTTTTTTCAAGGGAGATATATTTAAATATGTTTCATTCATCTTTGTTTCATTATTTAGATGATTTTGTGGTTCTGAAAAACCATTAAGCTATGTGACAGAAGACATGAAAGTTATCCTTGAATCTATTCATTTTATTTTCACCTTGTTTAATTTATTAGAGAAATTATTATTGGAAAGTATGCAGCGCAGTATCTTTTCAGAAGTATTAAGTATCTGCCACTATGTCTCAAAAGACATTTTTTTCCTAGTGTGAACAGCAGAGGTTTTTCCCTACAATTCATTGATTTATCTGTCACGCTCATGGAGGGCCCGCTCTCTGCTTCTTGGTCCTGGGACTGCAGTTGTGGATGGGGAGACAGAGAGCCCGCCCTCAGGAGCTCACATTCAGAGGCATGAGAGGTCAGAGGTCATTTGAACAGCAAACAAAATATATTTGTTTGGGCGCCACTTTATTTTTCCTAAGACTTCTGAAATGAAAATGATTGCAGTTACAGTGAGATATATTATTTATGTATATTTTAGAAATCGACCACTTTTAAATCAAGTGAGACTTGCTACTGTAACAATGCCTCATGTATAATTGACCTGTGTATCTTATGAAAAAGATAAGGAAATAGGTGCTAATTCAGATTCTAATACTAGTTTCCATTTCTTGCCAGTAGGGTTGGAAGGGACGTTGGAGGAGATAGTCAGCCTCCAGCAGATGCATGTGTTCCCTTTGTACTATATTCTGTAGTTAGCCTGAGTTTGGTTACTGTGACTAGAGGGAAATGAATAGCATCTTAAAGCAATGCGTTTTATGTTTGATTAGGTCTCACAGCCAGAGTGGAAGATTCAGATTACATTCTCTTTAGGTTGTTAGGTGCATGGGTTTAGGGCCAGAGAAAATGGTCAGGGTTGGAAAGTAGAGATTTAATAATTTTGAGTGTTTGAAGTGATGAATATGAATGACATTATCCAGGAAGCACAGGCAGAGTGAAAAGAGAACATGTCTTGGGAAACATAGTTAGAGGAGGTAAAAGGTAAAAATGACAACGTAACCTGAGCAGGCGTAGCCTAGATCGTTGACCAGGAAGGTGTTTGTGAAGCCAAAAAAAGAGAATCTGTACAGTTTTTAAGCTTTGCCTTATTTTGGAACTTAGCCAGTACAGTTGACCCTTGAACTGCACAAGGGTTAGGGGCACCAACCCCTCACCCCGCTCCACAGAGTCGAAAATCTGTGTATAACTTTTGATGACCCAAAACTTTACTAACAGCCTACTGTCGCCCTGAATGAAGCCTTACAGATAACAGAGTCGATGACCACATATTTCGTGTTCTATTATATACCGTATTCTTACAGTAAAGGAAGCTAGAGAAAGAAAATGTCATCACGAAAATCATAAGGAAGAGAAAACACATTGACAGTATTTATTGAAAAAAATTCATGTGTAAATGGACCCTCACAATTTAAACCCATTTTGTGCAAGGTCAACTGTGCTTATTAAATGTCATTTTAAAATACGTTTATCAGAAAGAACCCTGGGCAGCTACTTGGCTTTAGGTTCCTTATCATTTTTTGTGCATCAGAATCATTTGCAATTTCATACTAGGAATTTTTGAGATCTTCCCAACTCTGTCCCCTTCTAGAGTTTCGTGTCACGAAATCGTGCCTATCTTTTCTTCAAACCCTTTGAAGCCTACCTTATAAAGCTGTGGGGACATGTTAAACTATGCCCAGGCTTTCTTAAATGTTATGATAATGTGAGTACAGCCTCTAAAGATTACTGTCATTTTTAATTCTTCCTGATTGATTAGAATTATATCTAGTATAGGGTAATTATTTTGTTGCTTCCACTGCCTTTTGGAGGTAAGATTTTTTTGCTCAGTAAAACAAGTTATAACTTGTTAGACACTCTACTTATAAGTGAGTGAGATGTCTTATAGAAGTTTGGATAGTTTTTGACCGTCAGTATTAGTCCATCTTGCCTCCCTGCTGGTGTCACAACACCATTTATGATGGACAGTCCATTACCACATGTGTATATATTGCCACAATGATATCCATTCACTTCCTCTCTTATTCCTTCCCAGATATTCGCCAGAACCCCCCTTAGAGTAGGAATTATCTAAATAGATATACTTAGTGTGTAACATCTCTAAAGAAGTTTGTTTTAAACATTTTAATCTGTAATTCTCACCCAACCAAGTCTCAATAAAATTTGAGTTTATTTTTATTTATCATTTTGTCTTATAATCTCAAGTTCATCATGTGAGTATTAAGAGGTACCCTGGCACTATTGTTAGTAGTTAGGTGTGCAGGTTCTGAGCCAGACTGCCTGGGTTTGAATTCCAGCAATGCCACTTACGAACTCTGTGATCCAGGACAAGGCATATGTAAATGGAGATAATTGTACCTTAGATTATTACAGAAAAATTAAAAACACTCAATGAAGTATACTATTATTATCTTAGGGGTACTTGAAATATATATAACATCAGTGACTCCCAAAATTTACCCTTAATTTACAACTTTTTAATCATCAAACAATTCCATTTTCAAAAAGAGGGACGGGTAAGGTTTGCCAGCTATTGCAAAAATGTCAGGTAATTTCATGTCCATTAGTGACTCTTGCAAGAGAAATTTCAGGGCATATACCAAGTCGCAGTGAGATGAAGAGGTAAAGAAAAATCCAGAAACTACCCTTTAGGAATTCAAAGTTTAAATCAGCTGTTGTATTCACAATGTTAGATTTTTTTTCCATCTATTTTTTCTCATTTTGATCACTAATGTTAACACAAAACAATAATATTACAATAGTAAAAAAAATACATTTACTATTTCTCATTGAAATCCTTTTGGTAAGCAAGTGAATCAGCTCCCCAAATGACAAAACAGTTGTTTAAAATGAATTCAGAAATAAGCGTTTATCTAACATAGCACCTTACATGTAAAGAATGCTCAGTGAATTTCCTTTTTGTAAAAATGAATTTTGGTTGAACATTGTTTCTTCTTTTTCCCTCCAAAAAGTATGTGGATTCTCGTGTCATATAACTTGTGTAAACAAAGCTCCCACTGTGTGTCCAGTTCCTCCTGAACAGACGAAAGGCCCCCTGGGTATAGACCCTCAGAAAGGAATAGGAACAGCGTACGAAGGTCATGTCAGGGTAAGTGTGATTAAGTTGGATTTAGATTAATCTTCTAAGGTTTATTAATCAATTAAAGTCCAATCACCTTAAAAACATAGTCCTGGACAGAAAATTAGGTAAACAGAATTTATCTAATAATTTTATTTCACCCATAGTGTTGATTTAAAAACAAAAACCTAGCCTTTGCTTGGAAATAAATTCCAAAATTGTTTCACAGTTTCCCGTACTGTCCTTATCTTGGATTGAACAAATGTTGAAATCTCCATAAAAGAGTCTTTGGCTCTTGGTCTTGCTGGAGGGAGAGTTGACATATGCTTGTGAAGTATGAGGTATTATCAAAGCATAACCTTACCTGTAATCTCGAATAATATTTACAGTGTAAGCTACATTTCATCTTACTACCCAATTTGACTTTATGCTGCTTAGAAAGAAATCCATGAATGTCATTTTAATGAATTACTAGTGAAAGTTAAAATGGCACCATTGAAAAAATTTTCAGAATAAAAAGTCCTTCAGTGTCAGAAAAATGTATTCTCACATTTTCTCATATGTTATTAATGGTATATGTGTTCCATCTGCTACTTGACCAAAGTGGCAGACTTCTAACACATGTACATTATTTTCAGGTTTTTACCATGTAAGTACATATGTGATTACAGAGGCCCTGACTGACATTTTAGTTTGAGTTGTTTTTGTTTGTTTGTTTCATTATTTATTTGCCTGTCTAAGATCCCTAAGCCAGCTGGAGTGAAGAAAGGATGGCAAAGAGCACTGGCTGTAGTTTGTGACTTCAAACTCTTTCTGTACGATATTGCTGAAAGCAAAGCATCTCAGCCCAGTGTCATAGTCAGTCAAGTGATTGACATGAGGTAAGCTTTCAAAGATGAAAAAGGGTGTACCTTTGCAACATGGGAATAAAAGCTGTCTAATTTTTCTTCTAATTATATTGCTGTGTTTTTATTTAGATCTATTGTGTTAATTTTCTAATTCACTAATATTGCTGTAGTAAGATAATTAAAAATAGGAAGTAGTAGTAGGACGGTTTGTATATGTGTTTGAGTGTGTTGGGGCTAGGGGTCAGAGAAGAGAAGCTAAGGCTTGAATCCAAAAGACCAGCTTAAAGGTTGCTGGGATTTTGGAGCCTAATGTGTGGTATTTATATCATCACCTAAAATAAAGGCATAGAGGTAAGGAAATGTGAGGAAAGGACATAAAAATCTCAAAATCAGACAAGCTCTTAGAATATATACTGAATTGGTAAACATTTAAGTAAACGCATCTCTTGAATGTTTCTGGTCTCGTTTTGCAGACTCCTCCTCGGCCCCTTGGAGTGCTCTCCCTTACCTCTCATAACTCTAGGCATTCTGGAGTGATCTTATTCACTCCCATAGCTTCGGCCAATCTCCTGCATTGATGACCTCCAAACATATACCTCCAATTCAGATCTTCCTCCGGCACTCAAGACTAGGATGTCCAGCTGTGGCTCACACTGGCATTTCATGCCCGCATCTCTAACATGTTATCTCTTTTATCAATATGGAAAATGAAGGGATAAATGCAAGACATATTACCGAGGAATGCCTAACAGAGCCTGCTAAGGGACTAAATATAGAAAGATAGGAAAAAGAATCAAAGATAAGACTAAGATGTCAAGTCTCCAAGACCAACAGAATGATGGTATCAATAGTCAAATTATGGAGGGAGATCACAGGAATAAATTATTGTGGAGTAAATCTGTTTTAGGTGTTGAAGGAACAGTAAAATGTCAGATGAGCTGTGTTGAGGGCATGTGAGATGTATTATGGGAAGCAGAAGGGCCCGGTCTGCTGCCTACCAGGATGCAAATTCCAGTCCTATTTGTGTACTTACTGGCCTTGTGACTTTGGTCAGCCAGGAATTATTTCTAGCTCTCGTATTAAGCCACTCTTGATAAATTACTTTGGGCAGTATCAATTACAATGGAGGAAAAAATCAAATTTTAAAAAATACTTAATTTGGATATTTTGTGCAGTTAAGTTTTGAGGATTGCTTCACATGTGTTATTAGGATACATACCCAAGACCACACACACATACCTGCATACACTGACTTAATGTTTCACTTTTCCTTCAGGGATGAAGAATTTTCTGTGAGTTCAGTTTTGGCTTCTGATGTTATTCATGCAGGTCGAAAAGATATACCCTGTATATTTAGAGTAAGTATGTACTATAATTTAGAGTAAGTATGTGCTATAACTTGATCACTGAATTATTTGTTTTTAATGAGTATGTTCTGCTTCTCCATGTAGATCACAAACTTACTAGGAATAGAACACCAAACCCTGTCTTCATTTATGTACTCACATTATTGAATACTTGAACGTGTAGACAATTAATGCTAACTAAATATTTAATTAGTGAAAGATCTGTATTTAATTAAATAATTAACTATTAATTAGTGAACGCCACATGATTATATGGCTGCTAAAATAGGTTTCCCCTTGGACAACATTTTTGAGTCACAATTGAATTTTCAAATAAATACTACCACATAGAAAATTAAATTAGTGTGAGATTTCTCCAGTTTTTTAAAAATAGAAGTTTGTTCTAAAATCTCATTTAAAAAATTAATGTGTGTTTCAGTTCTATGGCTTTGCTGTAACCACTCCCAAACTTAGTGGCTTAACCAACAGTGATTTGTTTTTCACCATTCTGTAGGTCTTTAGGTGTTTACTGGGGTCTCTCATGTGGCTGCATTCAGCTCAGTTGGGGCTGGAATATCCAAAACGACCTTATTCTCACATCTGGGGTCTTGGTGCCGGCTCTTTGCTGGGCCATCTCAGTTCTCTCTGAACTCTCTCCATGTGGTCTCTAGTCGTTCAGTAGTCTGGCTAAGCTCTCTGTGGCTGGCTTCCGAGAGAGAAGAGAAAGCTGCCAGGTCTTCTAAAGACTAGGCCCAAAACAGGCATAATCACCCTTTTGCATTCTGTTAGTCAAAGCAGGTCATGAGGTCAGCCCAGATTTAAAAGGAGGGGAGTAGACTCCACTTGTTGATAAGAAGAATGAAATTCCACAGGAAGAACTGTTGGCAGCCATCTTTGGAGGCTATCCACAGGGCAGTCTTGAATTGGTGAATTAATATAACAGACAAAAAGAGGACGACTGCCCTAACATTATGCCTGTATGCTTAGTGTTTGTGTCTGAATCTTATATGTAAGGAAGGTCAGACAAAGACTATACTTACTGTAGTCTCAATTCCTGTACAACCAACTGTTGATTCTCTCTCTAGCCACCAAGGGAACCTAAAGAGGCCTGCTTATCTATAACTGATAAATATAGTGGGATTTTATTGTCGCTGCTGATTAAATTACTTTTAATAAAAGATCCATATATATAAAATTTAAATCTGTTCCAAGTACTGTTTGCATAATGACAAGCCTTTATTTAAATAGTAACTAAAGTGATCTGATCTTCTCTAAGATAATGTGAGTTATTGTTATGAAATAACACAGCATGTAAGTATTTCTGAGCATTTCTGACTTTTTAAAACAAGTTGAAAATCAGTATGATTTCCCGAGCATGAGCATGGGATCCCCGTCTGCTGTGCCATTAGGGAAATTACTTTCTCTGCATCCCAGTTTTTTCATATATAAAATCAGGATGTAATAACAGTACCTATCTGATGAAGATGTGGAGAGGGTTGCATGAGTTAAAGTGCTTTGATCAGTGTCCAGTGCCCAGTAATTAATAAATGTTAGTTGCTGTTATGTGAGTATGTGCAATGCATTTTTTAGTGATAGTATCCTGGCACTTGATAGCAAAGAAAATAAAAATGATACTAACATTTAGAATGGTATCTGCTACCTTTGCTTTGCCATGAAGTCTAACGCTAAAACCAGTTATTTTTCTGAATAGGAATAGCTAAACTCGTTAAAGGTATCACTTAATGAATGCTCATTTTGTTGGCTAGCATAAGCATCAAACTGGCTTAAAGGTGTCTGTGTTCTAAAATCATGAATTTTGATTCAATTTTTGTAGGTCACAACTTCCCAGCTTTCAGCATCTAATAACAAATGTTCGATCCTGATGCTAGCAGATAGTGAGAATGAGAAGACTAAGTGGGTGGGAGTGCTCAGCGAATTGCACAAGATTTTGAAGAAGAACAAATTCAGAGACCGCTCAGTCTATGTTCCCAAAGAGGCTTATGACAGCACTCTACCCCTCATTAAAACAACCCAGGCAGCTGCAATCATAGGTATGAATTTATAACATTTGTCATGTTATCATAATTATTTTACCTTGTCAGCAGGGACTGGCTTTCATGTAGGAATCCCCAGTGTCAAGCATAGCATGTGTTGCATCGCAGATGCTCAGTAAGTGTTTATTGAGCGAATGAGACCATATTAGAGCTTTGTTTCTCAGTAAACAAGAATAAGTACACTTTTCAAATGTGTTTTCTTCTGAAAAAGTAACAGTGCTGAAAATTAACTCATTAAATATATTTTCTGCTTGTGTGAGAGCAAGCTGTTTAATTTCTTAAAGTGAAAGTTTCCTATGTAAAATGTAGATAGATACTAATTACCTTGCACAGGTTATGGGGAAGTTTAAATAAGATGGAATACATAACACAATGTGCCCTGCATATAAAATGCCCTTAAAAAATGGCAGCTCCTGTGTCTGGATGTTTAAATTTGGCCATATTCTTAAGTACACATCCAACTCTTCTGTTACATTCTAGTAAATAATGAAACATTTACTGAGCGGGGTTCAAACGCCTTTGAAAGCCTTTCCCTCCCAACACAAGAAATGGAATTGGAGCCAGGGCACTAACAAACTAGGTTTTTAATATTTTTACCTTTTATTGAATAAACATTTACTTCTTTTTATAAGTATTGATATAGATTATTTTCTAATGATTGTTCTATTATAAAATATTTACCACTGTGATCTGAAGAGAAATTTCGTAGTACAAAAATTGTTATTGCTATTTTTAAATTATTTTAGTTTTTTTTAATCAAGTTTCTTTATCTGTTTTATTGTATTAGTTTTACACAGTTTTTTACCTATTAAAAATGTTTCATATTTCTGTCTTACATAGATCATGAAAGGATAGCTTTGGGAAATGAAGAAGGTTTATTTGTTGTGCATGTCACCAAAGATGGTAAGAGAAAACTTAATTATTGTGGGGTAACTTTAAACTAAATGTTGTTAGAAAATGCTAAACTCTAGATTCTAAATTCTAAAAACAGTAAGATTTGCTCTTATTCTATAGTGGAAATTTTCCAGGCCTAATTTGATATGTATAAGTCAAAAGATAATTTTTTTATATCTTTAATCATCCTAAGTTCTAAAACTTCCAAGTGTGTATTGCCTGTCTTGCATAATTTTATTTAATAGTTCTGCTATATGAACTCAGATTGCATTTCTAAAGAAGGTACATGAAAGAAAATACAACTGGATTTTTCCATTGTTCTAATAGTACTAGAAGAGGTAACAGTCATTAAAATGTGTTTGTTCTTGGGGTTTTTTTTTTTTTTTTTACTCCACAGTTTATTACAATAGTTTTTTTTTTCCTGGAGAGAAATTAAATATTGGGTGAACTGAAAAGGAACCAATTTAATTTAGCATTCTCAAATGCAGTGTTCTAAGTTCTATCTTTATATCAAGTTAGATCATGGAAAAACAAAGCATTTAAACTTCACTAATTTGTTACCCATAAAAATACCTTTAGTGAAACATGAGTTTCTCACTTTTTGAAAAATATAAATCCCATGGGAAAGGTCCCTAGAATTTAGTGTCAATAAAAAGGTTTGTTGGTTTTGTTTTTTTGAAGATCTGACATGCTTCATTACACAGGAACTTTGCCTTGGCTGCCAGAAATCTCAGTGCTAAAGTTAATACTTTACGATAGGTCAGCTAAATTACCTTGTAATGGGTGTAATTATCTTCCTTTTCCTCCATATGATTTCTGAGCTCTTATTCTCTGTGTATCTGTCTTTATTTTACGTTGACTTATATCCTTTTGACTGTAATTGGGATATGATTAATAAATAAACATTATTTTGCACCTGATTTATTACTGTTCCTTTGCATAGAAATTATTAGAGTTGGTGACAATAAGAAGATTCATCAGATTGAACTCATTCCAAATGATCAGCTGGTTGCTGTGATCTCAGGACGAAATCGTCACGTACGACTTTTTCCTATGTCAGCTTTGGATGGACGCGAGACTGATTTTTATAAGCTGGCAGAAACTAAAGGGTGTCAAACCATAACTTCTGGGAAAGTGCGCCATGGAGCTCTTACCTGCCTGTGTGTGGCTATGAAAAGGCAGGTCCTCTGTTACGAACTATTTCAGAGCAAGAGCCGCCACAGAAAATTTAAGGAAATTCAAGTCCCATATAATGTCCAGTGGATGGCAATCTTCAGTGAACACCTCTGTGTGGGGTTCCAGTCAGGATTTCTGAGATACCCCTTGAATGGAGAAGGAAGTCCATACAGCATGCTCCATTCAAACGACCACACGCTATCATTTATTGCACATCAGCCAATGGATGCCATCTGCGCAGTGGAGATCTCCAGTAAAGAATACCTGCTGTGTTTTAACAGCATTGGGATGTACACTGACTGCCAGGGCCGAAGGTCTAGACAGCAGGAATTGATGTGGCCAGCAAGCCCTTCCTCTTGTTGTAAGAGCCTCTTCCTTTTGGCTGTCTTACCTTCCTGTCTCTTTCTTTCCCTTCCACTCCATCTCCTAGGTGTATTCATTGTTAATAACAGGTTATGTTTTTAAAGCATCCTTAAGGTTTTTCCGAAGTGTTAATTGTGCTGTTTATGTAAACTCACCACATGTAGTTAGGCCAACAAGCCAACACTATGATGCATATAATTGAAGCTAATCTTTCTGTGGAATATTTTACTTAGATGGATTTTTAACCTATGTTATTGTATTTTGAAATAACCCTAGTTACCTTCATAGTCCTCAGGAATATAGTGCTTGTAATTATTCATAGCTCATAAGACTTCTAGAGAGGTAGTTACTAAGTGAGTTATTTAATCAGTTATGTAAAGATACAATCGAGCATCTATAAGAAGTGTTATTCAGTTTTAGATTTTTTATCTAGATAGGTAGATATTTAAATTTGCCTATTGCACTCTTTCAAAACATATTAAGACATTAATAAATTTTAGAATACTCATTATGTGCCATTTCACTGTACAAGATACAGCAATGAGTAAAATAGTCTTACCCTCACAGAGCATGGTGTGCAGTGAATAGATTCACAACAAAGCAAGGAGTTGCAATAGAATGTAAGCTCTGTGATAGCAGACCAAGTTCTGTAGAGGCATGGAGAAGGACTGTCCAGTCCAGAATGTTTTGGTTTTTTTGTTTTGTTTTTTTTTATTGTTAGTTTCAGGTGTACAAAACAATGCAATGATTATCCTTTCCACCCCTCACAAAGTAACAA